AAGAGCACATTTATTCTGCATATTAGCAGATGTCATGTAGGCAGGCATATTCAAATTTAGTTTTTTTTATTTGTTCCAGCTTTAAAAATAGACTTCATACCTAAACGTCTGCTCCCATTTGCAGAATTCCTCAGTTCAGATACATTTACCTGCCACAGAATTATAGTATATGACTTATTTAGTATGAATAATGATAATACCACCATTGGCATTCTACTGCTACTGGAACTAATCAAATGACAATTTTAACTATTTCACCCAGAAATAATCACTAAAGTGCCATCCATCCATCCATCCATTTTCTGAAACCGCTTATCCTATTCAGGGTCGCGAGGGGTCCAGAGCCTATCCTGGAGGTTACGGGTACAAGGCAGGGAACAGTCCAGGATGGCAGGGCACACTCACACACACACACACACACACACACACACACACACACACACACGTTTCACCTTCATAGAATGAAATATAAACACAATAGTTGCAAATTAACATCTGTCATTCAATATCTGATCATATTAGTCCTTGTCTTGCTGTACGGAGCCACGTTGTAGAAAAGGCAAAAAAGCAATAGGTGCGTCATAAGTTTTAAGAACATCAAAAGGCAGGATAACTTTTTCCCTCTGCTTACCATTCCTTTGAAGACTGAACAGTAACTACGAAATTAACGACACATCCTGACGAAGTGAGTAAAACACGTAAAGCACACTCTGAATGACAAAACTGACATACAGTAGCAGTTTTAAATGGTTTAATGGTGCCACGTTTTAGATTCAAAGTCAGGTTTAATGTTTAGAAGTCTGGGGTTCTTTTCTATTGCAGTCATCCCTATGTGATACTCACAGTTATTTAAAGTTGATCTCTTAAAGGGTTACAAACTGGTCAATGACAAAATACCAGATACAGTAATATATTTTTCTAAAATAATACACAATCGGAGAAAATATGATTTCCATCTAGTGATAAATGACAGGACAGAAGCATTCGTCCATTTTCTTAACCTTTACTAATCATACTTTAACACTGATGTGTAAAATATTACATGATGAGCAGGTACAAAATATGTATTTAATCAAAGCAGCGCCGGCAAATTATGACCAGACAGGATGAATAGGACTTTCTAAATCCAGGCCCGACTGATGAATGAAACTCTGTGGCGGGTTTTACTTTCGACCGCCATCAGTCATGTGTCATAGCCCAAATATGTTCAGATAGAAAATCTGGAACTGGGGTATCTATGCTAATTACGTCCACGACAACCAAATACGTTTTCCCTTGTTTTCGTGGTCGGTTTCCCTAAAACGTTTAATTTTATCTTAACAGTAGTAGTAAATACATCGCTGTGGTTAACGCATATATTAGTCATTCTGCATAAATACACCCATCCATCAATTCGTCGTCTAACCGCTCCTGTATAGGTACAGAAAATTAAAAAATTACAAAAATACAAGAATGCGTTTTTCATTCAAGACATAAATCTATTAGGTCATTTTTATGTAAAAGATTTTCAGGCATCTGCATATTAATACTCGCTGTTCCCCATATTTACGTGAATGGAAGAGTTTAAACAGGGGGAACTCCCTATATGTTACACTGGAATAACTAACCGGTCCTGGCGTATTTGCTTTTCTATCCATCAGGGGAATAGAGATCAGTGGGATTTTGGCAAAAAGATGCCATAACCACAGCTAAATATAACTTCTCTGCCTTGCAGTCAGAGGGTTTGTTAAAACAGCACCTATTGAACTAATAATAAGCTAATAAAACAAATTTGAACACACACACACACACACACACACACACACACACATATATATATATATATATATCTCAACCTACTTAGTGAGCGGAGTGGAACGCAGAAACCGTTTGTTCAAGTCATTTCAAGGTTGGTGATATTTTATTTATCTATTTATTTATTTAGAGTTCAGCTACGTTAGTCTGTATTAGGTATTAGGTTCACATATTTAAAAAATATGCGCGCACACAGAAAGAGTAAGTATTTAGATATAAAAACATGTATAAAGAAAACAGCTTGCATACCTTTAGTGTATTGTAATGATCGTGTTTATTGCAGAGAATTACGTTCGTGTTCCACTATAATCCTGGCCGGGTTTTCGTGCGCACTGTAGTGTGTGTGTATGTGTGTGTGTGTGTGTGTCTGTATGAGAAGCCGAGTCTTGTTTACGGCGCTGATTCCGCGGAGCGCAGGGCGACGAGGGAAGCTGCTCTATCTGCATGGTGCATTTTTGGCTGAGGCTGTAGAGAACCGAAAAAAAGAGGGATTTACCGGGTCCCCACGTTAACATCGCTGCGCTGTTAAGAGAAAAAGCCGCCGGGCTTACCGACAGCACGCGCCGGAGCCTCCGGTGCAGCAGTCCCGTTCCTGCGTGGCAAGAGAGGGATACGATACAGGGAGGGAGGGGGCGCAGCTGGTGAAACCATTTTTGTCCTGACGGATATATATTGGACGAGACCTCAGTTAGATAGGCTCTTCGGACGGGAAGGGAGTTGATATTTCATTCATTTAGTAAAGGCAACCTTAGTTGGGAGCTGGCGGTCCCGGTAGGGCTCGGCGTGTTTGGGATACTGTGGATGCTGCTTTTTTTCGGAACGGTTCTGCTTGGTAGCTCTCAGGCTAACGCTGCCTAGCTAAGCGTGCGTCCTCCCCCCCTTTAAGACATGGAGGCTGAAGATGCGGAGTACTATCAGCCAAGTACAATTCGTGACTTCGGTGTCTTGTTAGCAGGTCGTACCTCGTTCAAGAATTGGCAAAAATAAGAACCATCTCAGCCAGTTTTGTTATATATACATATATCATTTTCTCATCCAGAAATTGTGTGAGGGCCGGCTGAGAGCACCCCGCTTTCGGGGACTTGGACTGTTTAACACGCAGCTCCCGAAAACGTGGATCGGCGCAAATCGCCCCAGACGCGGATCAATTTCAAGAGTTATAAGCCGACTTAACTGGGTCTTTGTTTTTTCTGGTGACTGTGAAGAGCCTTCGTTTACACCTATTTTTCCCACTGTTTCACTTCGGAAACAACGACAGTATTTTTGAACGGTTACTACTTTAACAGGAATGAGGTCTGGGATAGAAAACGATCATTTGACCTCTTTTTTAGGTCTGCTCCTGGCAGTATCCGCGATCTGCCTTCGGCCCGCTAATGGAGAACGTAAGTGCTAGATTACTCTTTAATTGTTGGTTGAGCGTTGCCGTAGTGCGTGACCTTGTGCAATATGTCATTTGTTGTTCTGTGCGTGGACCAGTTGATGGAAAGCTATGGATGGATTTTTTATCTTTGTCCTGCAGATATGCTTATATGTGCCCAACCGGTGCATGTGTGTTTTCTTTCTCTTGTGTTTATGCGGTATATAATGCACATCAGTTTATTGTCCCTAAATCGGCGACGCTGGACGGTCGGTTCCGATGAAGAAGTCCACGTGTAACGGAGGAGCGCCCGGTCCGGCCGCTTCTCTCATAAACACGTGTGTGTCCTGCGCTCTTCCGTGGTACAAAATCACGGCACTTCGATAGCCAGGCCCCTCACTGGGGCACCGGGCGGCTATGCGTCGTGTTACGAGGCTGTGCTTTTTAAGTGGTAGTTTGTACCTGATCTGCTTTTTGTAAACTAAACCCCCGTTAACCCGTTAGTTTAAAGTAATGTTAACAACTGCTGTAAGCCGAGAAATGCGCAGGCCGGGAAACTGCACTAAGGGAAAGGATCGCGTTACAGCGATAAATATGTGGATTTTTATATGTTCGTTTATCTGAATTCTCTGAATGTAACATAAGTAAACAATAGATTTACACCGATCCCAGACCCTGGACCGTAAATGTACTCGATCGTCTCTTGAGATGCTTTTTTGTTGGCCATCTCCTTTTTCTAATCTGCATTTTCTTACAATATTAAAACCTGCTGTCCTGAGCACAAAACGCAGATTGCTGAAAACAGCGGTGGCGCGCGTTTCTTATTCATGCAAACTTTAATTCATGAAAATGGGCGAAAAAGTGTTCCTTATATTTTTTCCAAAACTATTTTTAATTGGGTCATGCACGTTTAAAATGCTGTTCGGTTATCATGTCGGTAATTTTAGTGAATTTTTTTTTTTTTGCTATATTAAGATGAGAAGATGATGGTTTATAATAGTGATTTCCATGTACTGATGAGAGACTCGGGAGGCTCGCCGCCTTACTGGAATGATCGTAATCTAACCATGTGGCCGTTTGAGCGCCGATCTGCTCCGGCGACACCCCGGGTTTCGGCATTTCGGTTTCCGCTGGGAAATGCTGGTGGCTTGGTCGCTGATCCATTTAAACGGGGAATCCAACACGATAAACTGAGCGGAAACAAAAATAAAAATCGGGTTTCAGTCATGACTCGATCGGGGTTTATCGCCGTCCTCCTCCTGCGCATCAGGGCACTTTTTTGGTTTGTATGTGCCAGGTATGAGGGACGAAGGTGATGTTTACAAGAACGATGCAGACCAACAATTTAGCACACCCAGGTACATTTTCACGGCTTGAGGTCTCCTCCCTCAGTCGCAGGACGACTTCAACCCTAAAACAGCAATTGCGCACATTCTTTCTGTGCTGTACCTGTAGTTTCTGGCTGCTCATAAATACCTTCGTGCTGAGAAATGTTAATCCTTCAGAACAGTCAGTACCATCATGCTAGATTTACTGACTTCCATAGCCTTTACAGGAAATTGTGTTTATATACTACGTTTACGTTAAGTATTTTCTGTGAACTCTAAGAAATTTGATATATGCAAATGTAAGTAGATAGCTGAACAGTACTTGGACTTGAAGTTGAAATAGACTTGTTGCAAGACTGGTCACTGGGTCGAGTCTGGTTCTGGTTGATTTCTCCTTGATGTGCAGAGATCCTAAGTACCTTAAAAATTACGTTTCTCTGTGGAAGATGCAAGAAAGGCTACTGGAGTATCTTGAATTAGTAATTCCTTAGTTTTTTTTTTTTTGGGGGGGGGGGGTGTTCCTGCATTTGAAACTGGAAGGAGAGCGGTCAGTGTAAATAGGGTTAGCTTCTGGAAACAGTGAGGCGGAGAGATTTTGTTTTGATAAACATTGGGGTGCCCAATTTTCTGCACCGGTGCTTATGTGAGTCAGACTCCCCATGCAAACATTTAGATTACAGGAGTCTGTAAAGGTAGCTTTGCTGGCTGGGGCGGGTTCCTTGCTCCTTTGCTTTCCACCCGACTTGTGAATCTGTCACTCTGAGATAGGGAGCCGCTTCCTGCATCAGTGATGACCACCGGATCTTGAGATGACTTGTTCTCCTGCATTTTATTAATGTAAACAATTAGCCTTTTTTTTATTATTGGGAAGCCAAGAGTCGCCATAGTAACCAGGTTTGCCAGCTGACTGCTTGCAGTTCAGCCTCAATAAAGGTGTCACCTGACATGACTCCGGTTGTCAATATGTAATTAATATAATTTCTCTTAGCTATTAATGCTTGTTGGCAGTAATCTTAGCCACCGTATTTGCAGCAGTGTACATTTCAAGGGTCTTCCTGGTGGGGTGCAAATGGGTGGTTTGTTTTCATTTTGCCATGAACCCCAGGGGCTGGGAGGTCATCAGGGAGAGCTGTGCGTATCTGCCGGCTGCAGGGAGTCTGTGGCCATTTCCATTTTACACTGTGTTTGTATGAGGCTGTTAAATGGAATGGTTTACTCATGAAGCAGGTGCATTCAAACCTGGTGAAGTTTTATCAGCATGCTTAACAAGTGCTTGTGTCGCGTCCCAGTCTAGAGTGGGAGTGAGACCGCTGCTTCGTTTGTCACAGTAATTTTAAAAGTATGGGAAAACAGCTTCAGGAGGCCAAAATTGCAGAAACGCCGCTAACGAGGAAGCGTGCTTCTTTTTACGACCCAAATGAACGATGAAACAAAAAACATCCGCGACTGACCGAAAACGGTACAAGATAGCGCCACGCTCCCTACTCTCTCCGCTGCTCATAGTTGAAACAATATTTAGAGATATGTACAAAGTGGGTCCCTCGTCTAAGGGTGTAACAGAAGGCCTGTAAGTTTGATTCCCAGGGTTAAAAATTTACGCTGTTCCTGTGTGTTCAGGTTCCTGTACTCCTAAGGATGTGTATTGCAGAAGCATCACTCCCTGCTTCAGTGAGAGTTCTCCTGAATTTCTCCTGCCTCAAGCATATTCACGTTACTTAACTTCCCCATTCTGTTTGGAAATTAGCAGCGTTTGTGGCCTCGACCTCGTGTGAGCTTCTGCATGAACCTGTTCGTCTGGGATGTGTCTCATGGCTTGGCAGCACTGCTCCATGTCGCGTCTGGCCTGGAGCGACATCCGAGAGCGCATTACTTTGAAGAAAAGAAAAGATCTTCTGGAAACAAAACACTCTGAGCTATGAATGTCTATGAGGTAATGAGGCACTCTGTGAGAAAGGAATGTTTTGTGTGTCAATTTAATATCCTGGTTTTAAAGCTTTTAAAATGTTTAACACCCTTTAATGTCTCAGCAGTCTAAAATTTCCACGCTTTTAGCTTCCAAGCGTATGGAGAGGAGGGAGAAAGACTTCCTGATTCATCATGAAAAAGAAAAAAAAATTAGGGTTTCAAAATGGAACATGTAAAAATACATTCACAAGCAAGACAGACTTGGTTCTGTTGATTGGAAGAGGGAGAACTCTGTGAACTCGGGTTTATTTGGGTTTTACTGTTCAGTCCGGCGGTTTCAGTCCAGACGAGCAGTTGAAAGATTCTCCTATCAAAGTTTAACCTACTGCCTCAGACAGGATGGCAGAGATTATTCTTTGGGTCAGATTTTGCCGCCTTGTTGCCCTGCGCTGTGGGCAGGATGCCATATTGTGTAATCTTTCTCGGTTAAAGGCTACGATGGCTTTGAAAATGTGTATATATATATTACAATGGTCCCTGTGTCAAGTTAGGTGGCTCTCAAATGAAAAATTTCCCCCTCTCCTTGTGAGTGTTTCTGTTTGGGGGGGGAGATTTATGTAATATATAGGCATGTAGACTGTGTGTTATTTGGCTGCTGTAAGTCTGGGGAGAGTGTGGCTATCGCCATGGTTACAAACCCCACAGCTCTGGATCAACAGCTGTCCTCGGCCCCGCCCTCTCTCCCTCCCCCTAAACCTATGGCCAAAGCGATGATGACCATTCTGGGTTGTGGTGACCAGACTGGCTTCTGTAACTGCATTTTCTCGTTATACGGTGCTCTGTGTCAAAGCTCATGCCGCCTACTCCGGTGTGAGGGCATGGAGTCTAGCAATACCTCCCACTGTTCCCCCCAGGGACCCCGTAAAGCCCCCACCGCCGGATTGGCGATCCGCATGTGCTGACTGACCGCGGGTAAACTGCTCACCGCCAGAAGTGTAGTGGTCCGAGGCGCGTGATGCGTTTGGCCAGATGACCGCATCTTAAGTTTCACAAACGCTGGCAGGTACTAGCTGTGGATCAAAGGATTGCTGGCAGATGTGTGATTTGCCGGGTGGAAGGGCATGTTTTAAAATCGTTTTTATATTTTCGCAGAAAGTGTTGTCATGTTTCTAAACTGTTGGCCTGTGTACTTTTTTACGATGGCTCTGTGGAAGAGCAACTTTGGGGCATAAAAGTTTGTTTTGTTAACCGAACGCATTCTGTCTGAATGTTTTTCTTTGAACTGAAATTTTGTTTTTAAAAAATATTGTGTAAGTGTAGTGGTTTTTGCGAAACAGTGTGGTAAGTCACTAGTTCTCCATAGTATGTTATGCAGTATGTTATGCGTCCCCTAGGTTTACAGCTTTGCGGGGGGGGGAGGCAGACGGACAGAGGTTCAGGATTCATGGTGTTCATGTGTTTCTTTTAATTCTTTTAATGACAGCAGTCAATATAACAATATAACAGCTGAACTACACATCAGAATATTTATCTATATATAAAATATTTTTGTCTGCTTTTCAGGAGATTGACGCGACGTATTTTCCGATGCGTGCCCTCTGTCCGCTGGTGGGAGTATGCTCACCTGTGTGTGCGTGCATCGGGGCGGAACTCCGGCGTGCGCAATACAGGGAGCAGAGGAGAATTGAAAACGCGCGGCCGTGTAGAGACAAACATGACAAGCTGTTGTGTAAATAAGAAATAAAATGTAGTTTGTTTAATGGAAGGGCAATGTATAGTTCTATAGGAAAGGTAACCTTAAATGACTTCTGTTGTGATCTGGTGCTATGTAGAAAATAAAATTACATAAAATTAACTCGACCTTCAAGGGGGGATGGGAGGTGCTGTTGGGGGGGTGCAGTGCCCCCCTAATGTAATAGTAGGGGAAACACTTATGCATGTATTTTAATTGCATACATGTATAATTCTTTTTGTACTTGGGGGGGTGGAGTCAGACTTTATGATCTACCCCCTCTACTCTGAGGCAGAGATGATTTCTTTCCTTGTCCGGTTGCTTGTAGGTATCAGTCATCAGCTGTCCATCCCTACACAGTGTAATTGACTTGTGCTTGTTTAGCCATGCTTCTGATAGATTCGGTTCGTGTTTCCCTGGTAACGTTTCGTGTAGTCTGATTGGTCATAAAATTGGCTGGTCTGTAAAGGGTTACCTTAGTGTGGAGATCCGCGTGCC